TTGCCCCAGGAAGTCTTTTTTTTTTTTTTTTTTGAGAGGTTTTTTCTGCTATAGGGCACATGCGCTCGCCAGACAGAGAGAGACATAGAGACAGAAGGCGAGAAATCACCCCCCAGAGGGGATGGTCACACTGCAATCCCTTCTCCTCCATTCTCCTCTCGGGATCTTGGGCACACACGCACATGCGCCCGGCGTGAGTTTTAAGCCACCGGGTCCGGGACATGAACTGCGGTCGACTACGTGGGAGTCCAGCGACATAGCCATTACACTAACTGCTGGTTCCCCAGATTTGATAAAGTTTTGAAAAATGTTGTAACAAATTTCTAAGCTCTATTATCAAGTTAAAAAATGTCTTAGTAATCTTTTTCCAATCACAGCTTTCAAATATTAGGGCATAAATTCTAATATAGTAAATTTTAAAGCATTGTTTGAATTATTGTCTAATATAAGGGAGACCTTACTTGGAATTTAGGGACTGTTTCTTTCTTAGCAATTTAATTTTTATTTATGCATTGTGGGTTGTTGAAGGGAAAACACATTTACAGAAGGACTTCCCACCCCATCCTCTTTCATCTTAATAGTGAAAGCTGACCTTTATTCAAATTCTTACTGGTAAAAACACTTGGGGGACCAGCAGGTAGAGTAATGGTTAAGGCACTGGACATGGCGCTTTAACCCATATGGCCAACCACGGTTTGAGTCCCAGACCTGGTGGCTTCCTTTCTCACTTTCCTTCTCTCTCTCTTTGTCTCTCTCTGGTCAAATTAATATAAATAAATGAATAAATAAAATTTAATAAATAATTCTTAAAAAAAAAAAAAACTTTGGGACCAGTTAGATTGAGATTGGTCTTAGGAAAGAACAAGCCTCTTATAGAAAGACTGCTAAGAAATTCTTCGAGGATTTGGTTTGCTTTCTGAATGCAGTTCAGCAATAGAGTTAATAGTAGTTTTCTTCTCAGGATTTAGATGGCAATCTCCTGGACTCCTGGGAAGGGGTGAGAGTGCAATGCCTTTGGTGCTTGAGTGACGGGAAGACTGTTCTGGCATCAGATACACACCAGCGAATTCGGGGATATAACTTCGAGGACCTTACAGATAGGAACATGTAATTGTTTTTTATTTTCATTTAAAAAGTTACCTAATTTTATGTTTAAATACATAGTAGAACTTATTTTTTCAAAAGAATGGTTTTTAAGATTTTTTTGTTTTAGTTTTGATTTTAGATTCATGTCAGATGCTACTTAATAATCATTAACTCAAATTTTTCTCAACTGAAGTGTGCAATAGTGATTCCAAAAGTGTCATTTAAGCCCCAGAGCATTTTATATTTTGAGCATTTCATTGTCTTAACTCTTAATATGTTATTTTTGACAAATTACCTTCTTGTTACAGAGTACAAGAAGATCATCCTATTATGTCTTTTACTATTTCAAAAAATGGCCGATTAGCTTTGTTAAATGTAGCAACTCAGGTACGTTAATTTATTTTTCAGAAAAATTTAGCTTAGTACAAATTTTAATTATGATTTTTAGTGTGCGTATATATAAATCTATAAATTTTATTGCATATGTTTGATCTTTAAATGTGTAGAGACAATTACAGATTTATCAGAACATTAATGTTTTGCGTTAATAGAAAATGGAAATGCTCCATCCAGCAAAGAGATAATTCACAGATTGCTTTTTCAAAAATTTTTTTGAGTCAAGGTAGAATAAATACCTATATTCTTTGTTCCCTGCAGGGAGTTCATTTATGGGACTTGCAAGATAGAGTTTTAGTAAGAAAGTATCAAGGTGTTACACAAGGGTTTTATACAATTCATTCATGTTTTGGAGGCCATAATGAAGACTTCATCGCTAGCGGCAGTGAAGGTAAGTTTTTTGTCATTGTCGATTCACATATGTTGATGGGTTTAAGGTTCTGTAATGCTCTCAATTTATAAAGCATCTTCAAGCATATTCAAGATATCAAATTAAAATTTCTGTGAGGTAGTTATTGAGTACACTGTTAATTTTCCTTTTTTGGAATGGCTTGAGCCCTTTTTTATTGTGATAAATCAGTAGTGCCTGTTCAGACCATGTAGAGATGTGTTTGATGCATGTCTCAAATCGAAACTTGGTTAAGTCATTCTGCTTCCAGATGTCAACTTATCTTTTCATGGTCCTGATTTTTTTTTTTTTTTTTGATGGTTAGTAATATCTAAAAAGTCAGGGTTAATTATGATGCTTTACCCTGAACGTGGACAGAATCGACTATTGTTAGATCTTCATTATTTCTGTAGTAGCCAAAGATAATTCAGTTTGATTGTTCTTTTTTTTTTTTTTAAAGATTATATTTAACTTTATTTAAATTTGACCAGGGAGGGAGGAGAAGGGGGAGAGGGAGTGAGAGAGAAAGAAGGCAAGCCACCAGGTCCAGGACCTGAACCATGGTCAGCCATGTTAGGTGGTCAGTGCCCTTAACCACTATGCCACCTGCCAGCCCCCAGTTTGATCGTTCTTACAGTTTCAGAAAAGCTGTAATCAACAGAATTGTTTCACTACTACTTTTTTGCATAAACTTGTTTTCAGTATTCTAGGCAGACATGTGCCTAGAGTCAGTCTAAATTTGTAATTGTTTAATAAAATATGTAAACACAGAGAAGCGAGGCAGTATTAAAATTTAGTGTACAGGGCCAAGCAGTTTCATGGTAGTTAAGGTAGCTAGATGCCACATGGCTGGGTCTTGTACCTGTGGCTTGAAAAAACATGTACAAGTGTGCCCAAAATCCCGAAAGGAAGGAGAACTAGAAGAGGAGGGATTGCAGGGTGAGCAGTATGACCATTCCCCATGGGGGATACTTTTTCACTTTCTTTTCTCTCCCCTAATCTCTCCCTCCCCTTCTCCAGCCGTCCTCTGGCTTTTTTTTTTTTTGAGAGTTTTTGCTATAGGGCGCGTGCGCTCGCCAGACAGACAGAGAGAGACATAGAGACAGAAAGCGAGAAATCACCCCCCAGAGGGGATGGCCACACCACAATCCCTTCTCTTTCATTCTCTTCTCGGGATCTTGAGTGCACATGCACCCCGTGTGAGTTTAAGTGTGAGTTAAAGCCACTGGGTCTGGGACTCAAATCGCTGTCAACTACATGGGATTCCAGCAATGTAGCCTTACGCCATCTGCTGGTTCCTTTTTTTTTTTTTAGTGTACTTTTTTCTGTTATAATTATTTATTTTATTTTATTTATTCATTCATTTATTTTAATTTGACCAGAGAGCGACAGCGAGAGAAAGAGTGAGACAGCAAGCTGCCAGGTCCGGGACTTGAACCGTGGTCTGCAATGTGGGAGTGTCCAGCAACTTAACCACCATGCCACCTGCTGGTCCCTAATTCAGTGTACTTTTTAAGAGGATAGGAAAATAACAGCAAAATACTACAGATTTTCATTCAATATTTTTCTTTGGCGTCCATTTTATTATTCCAGGTATTATCGTAGCAATTTTTTTAAAAAAACAGCAAATTTTCTAAGTCATTTTTTAAAGCACTATATCTGGGACCAGCAGATGGTGTAATGATTACATTGCTGGACTCCCATGTGGCCAACCACGGTTTAAGTCCCAGATTTGGAGGCTTCAAACTCACACTGAGCACATGTGCGCCCTTGCCCAAAATCTCAAGAGGAAAACCAAAGAGAAATGATTGTGGTGTGGCCATCCCCCGCAGGAGGTGATTTCTCGCTTTCCATCTCTCTGGCAAGCGCATGAACCCTATAGCAAAAATCTCTCTTAAAAATAAAGCCACTAGGACCAGCAGTTAGTGTATCGCTGGACTCCCATGTAGTTGACCGCAGTTTGAGTCCCGTACCCGGTGGTTTAAACTCACACTGGGCGCATGTGCATGCATGTCCAAGATCCCGAAAGGAGAAAGGAAGAGAGGGGATTGCAGCGTGGCCATCCTTCCTGGGAGGTGATTTCTCACTTTCTGTCTGTCTGTCTCTGTCTTTCTGGCGAGCGCACATGCCCTACAGCAAAAACCTCTCCCCAAAATAAATAAATAACTAAAAGCACTGAGGGGCCAGCAGGTAGCATGGTCATTTAAGGGCACTGTACTCCCACATGGCCAACTGTGATTTCAGTCCCTGACCTGGCAGTTTGCTTTCTCACTTTTCTTCTATCTTTTTTTCTTCTTCTTTTTCTTAATTCATTTATTTATTTAAATTTGATCAGAGAAGGACAGAGAGAAGAGAGGGAAAGTGAGAAAGCAAGCTGCCAGGTCCAGGATTCAAACTATGGTCAGCCATGTGGGAGTCCAGCGCCCTTAACCACCACACCACCTGCTGGCCTCACTCTCTCTCTCTTAAAAAAAATAAAGATACTGAATCTAGTTTTCAAATACAGACCAAGGAACTAGCTAATGTTGGTTAGCACTTTTATTTATGTTCCATTTACTGTATACAATATTTACTATTCCT